GGTCTTCGGCGTGACGAGCCAACGCTTTAACCATTAGGCTACCCCACCGACCCTTGGGGTAGATGAGGTGGATGGGAGGACGAGGGGGAGATGAAAAGGTTTTGTTGGTAACCTCCCAAAACTTAACCACCTATATCTTAGACGCTTTAAAACAACCTTTATTTGTTTATTTAACGCCGCACTCAGCAATATGGCGGCAGTCTGTAAATAATCGAGTCTGAACCAGACGATCCAGTGATCAATATCATAAGCATCCATCTTTGCAACTGGGATACGATGACATGTGTCAACCAAGTCAGCGAGCCGCACCACCCGATCCCGTTAGGCGTCTCTTACGACAAGCACGAATTGCTGAAGAGGTAATTCTAGCTCGGATCTTCACGGGTCAAGATGGCAGGGGTGGGTGAAGGGGATATGATTAAGGTGGATGATAGCATTGATGTCACATTATGTAGCTTTTGTTATGCTGGTTATTGTCGATGAGTCTGTGTGTCAAACGGAAACCATGTTGTCCTACGACCGTCGTTGTAATGTTAGAAACGATTGCGTGACTGTCAATCTGTGAGGACACCGTGAACAACGCCCATGGCAAGAATATTCCCCCACAGCGGGGTGATGCCATGTTAATCGTACGGCAAGCACCAACCGGAACGGTGTAGATCGATACACGGGCTGTTAGACACAGACAGGCACCGGAACAGATCTGACTTGCAGGCTGCCCCGATATAAAGCCAAGATATGAATGCCGCTTTGAGAGCATTTCCTTCCCTCTAACAACATTTCAACCCTTTTAAACTGCATTTCCCATGTAGTGATTGCTTATGCTAAAATTTCACGTGCCATACACAACTTTACTGCCATGTGTGTTATTCTGGTATTGTCCAAGCAAAAAGGCAATGTTTGAGCCCATACAATTTCTCTCAGCAAGGTGCAAGAGTTGCTATACTATAAATATTTTATCGACATATTCCCTTATGTGCATTTATTCCCAAGGACCATGGAACCGCTCTTTCCGTTTAACAAGCACTCACGTGCTACTGGGTTTCATCAAACCAGTAAACTCCGCGGAGCATCATTTCGGGTTTTCATCCCACATCAAGTTGATACACAGCTAGTTAACCAATATGATGTTCAAAGCTCACTCACTCACTAACTCTGAAATCACTCACTCACTCTGAAATCACACTCTCCATTGACAAAGTGTGGGTTTCACTAAGCAGTGAAAGTTCCAGTGACCCGGGTTTGATTCCCCACATGAATACAATGTGTGAAGCCCATTTCTGAAGTCCCGTGATATTGCTGGAATACTAAAACCCACTCACTCATGAACTACACATGAGTACAATGTGTGAAGCCCATTTCTGGTGTCCCGTGATATTGCTGGAATACTAAAACTCACTCACTCACGCACGCACGCACGCACGCACTCACTCACTCACTCACTCACTCTGGACTGGCGTGACTTCGGGCTTTCTTCCCACATGATGACCAACATGGCGTTACACTCAAAGCTCGCTCACTCACCCTGAAATCACTCACTCATTCTGAAATCACACTCTTCATTGACCAAGTGTGGGTTTCACCAAGCAATGAAAGTTCAAGTGACCCGGGTTCGATTCCCCACATGAGTACAATGTGTGAAGCCCATTTCTGAAGTCCCGTGATATTGCTGGAATACTAAAACCCACCCACTCCGCACGCACGCACGCACACTTTTGCACTCACGTCACTCACTCACATGAGAATACTGAAAACTGGTGTCCCGTGATATCCACCCACTCACGCACGCACGCACGCACGCACGCACTCACTCACTCTGGACTGGCGTGACTTCGGGCTTTCTTCCCACATGATGACCAACATGGCGTTACACTCAACACAGAGAGACTCTACAACATACAGACATGCCGTGTAATTTGTCAATCAACCATTTTCCCAGTGCCTGTAATCAGCCATCTTGCCGCGTGGTTACAAATATTAGTATCAAATTGAAAATAACAGCACTCGACCCTTAAAGCAGTAAACTATCGATCAACTCAAACAATTTGAATAATAATGTTCCTCAAAGAACGAAAGGCCTTCTTCAGTCCACAATCAATATATATTTCAAGCAGTAACCAGGGTGTTGAGCATGAATATCGCATTGACCTATGTATTGACCAAAGAACTTCAGTCGTTAAAGGAATACAGTCTAATCACAGGCAGACACTGGCTGGCCGGCAGTGTCGAGATACCCAGATAAGTGGGTTATCAACCCACGAGAATTTATCTCGGTGCAGACACGACATTGTCCGTCATCATGATTTATATGCTAGTGGCGAAATCGTACCACAATCCGACAAGCCACAAGCACGGCAATTATTTTTCACTCGATCTATTTAAAGTTTCCAAGCGTGATCATTAAATAAATGTGGCTGCTGTGGCGGCCATATTGAAAAGCACATACGAACAATTTGAGAAAGTGGGGTTTCAGCACAGACATTAACAAGCATGTGAAGTTTCATCTTTATTTGTTTACTGGGTCAAATATGCATTTTAAAGGAATTAAATTGCAAATAGAGACGCAAAGGTCAAAACAAGGACAATCTCTGTTGATTCCAACATCCATGTTGAGTCCCACAACTAAGAAAAGCCAAATTTCGGTACTTGCTGAGTAATAAGAAAGTTGTTACATATAGTAATCGTGACGGGCCTAGTAAAAATAATTCTAACCTTGAACAAATGAGCTGTCATCAGTTCTGAGCACCAGATAATATGTGAAGTTTTATCTGTAATGCTCCAGTAGTTTCGAAGATGTCCAATGCTGGACGGTGGACACCGGTCAATCACTTGATTCCAAAAATTGCATTGTTTTCTCTTCCGCCCAACCATTTCTGCAAATCAAATGCCCTAAAGGAAGCAAGTCTAGATTTCCACAGGTTCTGAATCTCCATGCTCACTGGGGCTCCTTTTCATTTTATATGTCATTTTTGTTATGATCTTATTTTCCAGAGTCTAGGCGTTAGACTACCGCATGCCTTTCTGTCAGGTTGTCAAATTACCATTTTGTAAGGAATGTGGAAATAACAGCGACCATGTATTGAAGGAAAAGTTGTAAATTTAGATTGCGAACACGTTCGCAAGTGACATGCACTATAAAGTGGGTTAATAAAACACTGCATAAATGGCATTAAATTAGAAGCATTTATTGCTAGATAGCATAGTCGTTTCTTTCGTCAACAAAGCGTGTCGTTAATGCCCGTGCATGTTTAGTAGTGTGTATACATTGCTATAGCATCTTGAGACACTGCGTTGTGAAGCCAGACACGATCTAGTTACGTATATTGTGTCAATATTTACTCATGTACTTATCTGATGAATTGTATCCATCGGTTGCCATGTACTCACTGGTACATTTGATCTTACAGCCCTTGTATATATCAGTTTATGAACTGTTCATTCCAGGTCAAGGTACAACCAGCCGAGGGACTGATGTTATCACTGATTTTGACCTCATCATTTGAACCGTCATATTGTCAGACGTAGACTAACGCTTAGTCTCTGAATATATATTATATAATTTTTAAAGGAACAAATAATTCGATTTAATTTGAAAAGGAGCTCCAGTAACGTGAGGAAAACCTAGACTTGCTGGGCTTCTGTATTGTACAAAGGAAATGGTGAAAAGGAAAATGCTATGGCTCTGGGACTGTGAGACACTCTGTGACAGACATTACATTGTACAATATCACTTATAGCTATGGGCCAGGGACTCCTTTCACGAAGCAACCTTTCCTAGGGTTAGACTGAACTCCCATTCTTTAACATTGCACTAAGGTTACCTTAATGACCCTAGTACTTTGTGAAAGGAGGCCTAAGTTGTTTCTACACATGATATACCTTTAGTCCTTTGGCTTAGCATACTTGCAACAGAAACGTAAAATGAAGTCTTAAGTTTGTTTGTTTGTTGTTTAACGCCGCACTCGGCAATATTCAGCTATATGGCGGCGGTCTGTAAATAATTGGACCAGACAATGCAGTGATCAACAGCATGGGCATCGATCTAGTCAGGTAGGTTTGACGTCGAGGTCAAGATAATTGCTCGTACAGCGACTTCTGTAAATTCCACCATCCGGGCGTTTAGTCAGAAATGATTCTTATTGATTGTGGGTGTGAATTTACGCCGCTTATTCCAACACCCCAGCAATATCACGGTGGGATACACCAGAAATTGGCTTCATATAATGTTTCCATGTGGGGAATCGAGCCAAGATCTTCGTCGAGACGAGCAAACACTTTAACCACTTGGTCTTTGATGCATCAGTGACACAAATGATGTCCAATGCAATTCCCAATTCCCGAATTATTTCAGGTGAAAATTGACGAGACTTAGCATATGTTCAGACGGGTGCCACCGGTCGGGCAGGTCGGGACACATGCTGTCATCATATCGCACAAACAAATCCATGCTCATGATATAATCAGAACTGTACAGTGGAGGCTGCTTTTATCAGAGATTTCTTATGGATGTGGAAAGGATTTTGTCGCTTCTAGTCGAATGGCAGGTCGATGGCAAATGTGTTCGTAGTAAGCCATGTGTGTACATGGTAAAAGTGTGTGTGTGTGTTTAGATTTTGTGGACTGTAATTCGCGATTGGAATGGTTCGGATGATGGAACGCCATGCGTTAAGGTTGTAAGTCACATGTGTGGACTGTAATTCGCGATTTGAATAGTTAGGCACATGGTACATCATGTGTTCAGTTGTAAATCACGTGTGTTGGACTGTAATTAGCGAGTTTGGATGGTAAACCGTGCCTATAAATGGCAAGTCGTGAGGGACGATGGTACGTCATGTGTTTAGATGGTGAGTCGAGAGTGTACATGGTAGTTCCTGTTGATGTTACGTGAATATGTGTAGATGAGACACCTTCTGTGAAGTGATGCAATTTGTGAACACTTGAGTTTAGAATGATGCCCAGCGTCAATCTGATGGGAGAAAAACACATCCTGATAACGAGAAGAAACTTAAAACAGTCTTTATGACGCACAAAATCTTTAATTTTGGTAAGCATCAGTTATAAAAAAAAATACTTCAGTAGAAAATCTAAATACAACCAACTTAAAATGAACAGCAATACAAGAAATAAGACATCATTTGTAGACAGGGTTAGTCGTGATATATCATAAAATATCATCCATTTAATATCATCCTCATTCCTTGTACTGTTGTGTTAATCTCTTTCATGGGATGTCTGTCGTCTTCAAGAATACATGCATTGCTTACTTCTGGTTCTATCCCAGTTACAAACCTATTGGATTGATTGGTGAGGGAGTGATTTTGGTATAACACTGTTTTGATAATTATTTCAGTCATATCACCAGTTGTCGACTTCGTTTGGGAAACAACGCACTGTAGAGCAGGTCAGAGGTACAACCACTTTGATGAATCCGAACAATAGTGGTGATGTACTTAAATACAACATGGTAACTGGGGCAAACCTGGGATTCGAACTCGGTACAACGGCGACAACGGTACATTTGGTTTGTTTCAATTCTTAAAAAGATCATTTCTAAATATTTGCTTAGAATAATTGTTTACATGCTTTATTATTTTCTATTTTACAAACTGCATGGACTGGAATGTATCCGGGGAAAATATAAATAACAAAAGATTATCGGGCACGGTAAAAACATAATGCACTGCGGAAATATAGTACACATAATGCTCACTATAATACTACACAATTAAAAATTTACATAACAAAATATAAGTGCTTGCATTGCTGTTGCATTATCACAGTTCTTATACAATATTCAAAACCGTTTTCTCACCGGGTTTCTAAAATGTTGCATGCACACCGCGTTTATGACTGTACAAACATACTCAACTAATACACATACACAACTAGATGTCTGCACTGGCCAGTAACGACCAATAACGACCTATAATGACCAATTAAGGCCAAGCACCCCGTTTTAATTAACGCAAACACGTGATGGCAATGAAAGAGAATTTTCTATCCGACAATGATGATCAAAATATTCGAAAATACATAAAATAGCCATAACATTTAAAAATACCTAAAAAAAGATGTACATGGTCATGAGAGACTAGTTCTCGTTGACAGACATCCAACAAAATTGGGCACATTTAGTTTAGTCATTGCTTGCAGTCATTTCTTTCTGAAAATACGATTTGTAATTTAGCACTTGTTTTCAAAATGCATAACCAAGACATATCACGAAATTCATAATACATACTAGTAATACGTATGACATATGTAGATTCGTGTATTGGAAATAGCGATAACTTCTTGATGGGAAAATTCAGTTTCCATTGCTTTGATTCACTCCTCGGAGTATAACACAAATCGATTTTTCACCTACTGAAACGAATTTTCTCATAGTTTCACAAAAATCAATATAAATGGTACCGCAAACGTTAATAACGCAATATTTACAAAACTAACGTGGGAAAATGACGATAATTGTTCAGTGGTGAGTGTAGATATCAAATAACGTTTTTGACTTCTATGTGCATTACAGGACTAGATCGAATACTGATTTACTGGTGGTGGGAAACGCCGCTCCAGTTTTTTAAGGTCAAACTTATTATCAATATCGAACATAAATTCAATAAAAAATCCTCGCATAACTACATTCTGAAAGATTTGTTCCAACATGGATTCGTGTGTGATTCCGTCAGAAATCCAGTGTGCTATTCAAATATGGCATCCATACAACAACGAGATGACTTAAACTTGGGAGAACAAAAATGCTCACAAAAATGATACTAGCTTCCTACTCTTGGACAATATAACAACAAATACACCAACAATTAATCACCTTTACCCTAATTAAGGAACATAAATTGAATGAGAAAAATAGGATGTCCATAAATGACACCAATCATCAGGTCAGCATATATCACTTAGTTCACTAATCCCCAAAGATGACATTCACAACTAATTTCGACACTTTCAAATGTCTTTCCCGTAAGTTACTGAAGTCCAACAAAGTGAGTGATTGGTGGGGCGTTCACCATCAGTTCCTCATACTTGTCTATGAAGAGACTCAGTCGGCTCGAGTAGGTTTCTTCGTTGTAAGGGAGCCCACTTTCCTTCAGGAATTTGGAAACCAGGGGTTTGATCTTGAAGCACATGTTGTCCGACAGTCTTGGGAAGAGGTGATGTTCTACATGGCAGCTGATGATACCGTGCCCAAAACAATAATCAAGAATCGGGTTCCTGTTCAGATTCAGCACCCCTGTAGCCATCTGGTAAATCCTCTTGGGTCTGTCTTTGTTTGAATACATAGGTAAGCCAATGTGCTGGAAAATGTTGACATGGATGTATGGAATTGAGAGGGTAGCACGGCTGGCAAATGTGCATATTACTGCGCCAAGCAGAGAAAATCCCGAAAATGTCATTAAAAGGTAAAAGTGGAGGGCAAGGCCTAACGAAACGACAATGACAGCTCGAAGCAGCTTCATCCATTGACCAAAAAGGTTTGAAAATCCAACAAACGGTGTTGCTAGGGGAAGCAGAATAGGAGCCACAAACATGTAAATGTACGAGGGGAGCATGGGCATCTTCCATGTGCTTGAGTCACCGAGTCCGATAATGTTTGTGTGAGGATGGTGATACTTGATGTGTATATCGATCGCAGCCTCCGATGAAAACGAACCAACAAACTCGACAAAAAACACAGTCCAGAATTTGTTCCAAGCAGGCGACTGACAAACTGATCCATGCGCAGAGAGGTGGCCTCCCTTTGTTGCGAGAACAGAGTGGCAGCACCCCATTAACAACCCTCCAACAACAAGTGTAAATATCGAGTCAGATTTCAGCAACCATAAACTGAAAGCTATCCCTGCAATACCTGTCAGATGGACCATCCAGTCGATCCCATACAATTCCATCCATGATGTTCTTTTCAGTAAATCATTTACCTTGTCGCTGAGATCCCCGAACTCTGGCAGTTGTTTCAGCTTAACATAGTCGTATACTTCTCCGTGCTCCTTTACCTCACGTTTGGAGATTTTGCCCATCTTTCTGTCGTCTGCTTCCATGACGCTGTCTGGACTTTGTAACCGTCGATAGAAGATATTGGTTCACGAAAATACAGCAACTTAGAACATACAAACGATGAAAGGTGTGTGTGAACTTTGTTCCAGTTTCAAGGACAACACACACTCAATATCGAGTTTCCAGTTATGCTTGCCAAGCACGAGTACTGCAGATTTATAACACTGCACTCGGCGTTCTTCGGACCGAGATAAATTGTATGCGTGAACTTTGACCCGTGGGGACCAGTCATTGTAGGGACATAATTTTGACGACGTCTGTAGAAAATGAAGCATAGCCATTGTTTTTGTCATTTGCAGGCATGTTGATAATGTGCTTACAATAACAAATTGAGGTACTGTGTTATAAAAGCCCTTGGTAATACACAGTTACCCTTGATTCAATATCTTAGTAGTAATGATTCACTAACCGGTCCATGATCTTGACTTGGCAGGTGCTCGTCTTGACAGCACCTGTCAGCATTATGTCACAGAGAAACAGTTGATTGCTGGGAAATCAGAAGATGTTAAATTCACAAAACTTCAGAAAACCGTTTCTCAGCGCTAGGCAGAGAAAATATTCAAGTCTTGCACACATATTTAATAGCATTACGGACACTTGAAATATTTTTCAAATGATAGCGATAGATCGTGTTATCCTTTTAACTGTTCTATATATGCACACTTTACTTTTAGAGATCAGGGAAACACGAAATACAGTTAACGACGTAGTCTGTACAGTCTATTACCGACGCTGAAGGGGTCGTTTGTTACCAGGGAGCACAGGTATCCCTGGTACAGGTATGTACCCCAGGTATGTTTCTGTATACAGACATGTACCCTAAACAAAGACAAACTACAGAAACGTACGGGGTCCGGTTCCCTAAACGACGGACGAGTCCATATTCCGCAACCCAAAACCGAAACCGTATGTAGTTGTTCCCGTTCAGCTGATTGCGAGTGGTGTACGTTGTGCACCGTGAAATATTCGTTACTGTGTATGCTCTATATAACGATATAAAATGCATCTAATACAACAGTATGACAGTTCCGATCAAGAAAACCCCACAGTGCAGAATGGAATCGTCCAAAGATACGTTTCTGTATTCTGATTTTGGCTACGGTACATTACTGTATACAGAAACGTACCTGGGGTGCACATCTGTAGTACCCGTGCCGACAACGACCCCTTCAGCGTTACCGACCGCAACGATCAATTAATATATGGGTTCGAATTCCAGCTTTGCTCTCTGAAACCAAAGAGGTTGTACATGCAATTAGTTCAAGTAAACCGTTGTCAAAACTAAAGTCAACGGATATACAACCTACACTGACGATTGTATGTTTGTATTGTATGTGATGCAATGTATGGATGGTTGTGCATTCTGAAACCAAAGAGGTTATACATGCAATCAGTTCAAGTAAACCGTTGTTTAAACTTAAGTCAACGGATATACAACATCCACTGACGATTGTATGTATGTATGTATGTATGTATGTATGTATGTATGTGTGTGTGTGTGTGTGTGTGTGTGTGTGTGTGTGTGTGTGTGTGTGTGTGTGTGTGTGTGTGCGCGCGCGCGTGTATATGTGGATGGTTTTGTATGTGTGTGTTTGTATGTACGTATGTGTTTATGTAAGTGTGTATGTATGTAAATGTGTGTGTATGTATGCATATGAAGGTGTGTGTGTATGTAGGTATGTATGTATGGTTGCATTGGATGCCAGTTAAATTGACCCAGCTACAAAATGACCCAGCAAATTTATGGTTGTATTCATTTTTTTCATTCATTCAGTTTTATTACTGATATAATGTATAATGTGTTATGAATTTTACAGTGTCCCATACTATGTTATACTATGTGTGTGTGTGTGTCTCTCTCATTGTATCTGAATATATATTGTTGCGTAATATCATCGAACGCCAATGACATAACCATCACACGTGCAGACACAGCACAGCAAAGACTGTGCTGGATGCAGCTTGAGAAAGGAGGCTCATGTATTGATTTCCTTGCTGTAGGCGATTGGAGCGGCCCTGGCTAATTTCAACTACTGAATGTGTTTGGCAATGTAGTTTCTCCATACAGTACACCTGTTGTGCTTGGAGAATTTTTAAAGTTACTGGTGACTTTGTGCCTATTGATTGCGGTCTTGGTTGTAGTGATAATTAAACATAAGTGTCATGGAGACCCTTTCATATTCACTTAATGTTGAAATAATAATAAGAGGAAATATAATAATACTATAACGGAGGTGGTGATGATGATACTTTTAAGAAATAAGACAGTGTTAAGAAGTGATGATAAAATTGATGTTTTAGGCCATGATGATTTGTTTAACACCGCACTCAGCAATATTCCTGTCTGTAAATAATCGAGTCTGGACGAGACAATCCAGTGATCAACAGCATGAGCATCGATCCACACAATTGGGATACGATGATATGTGTCAATCAAGTCAGCGACCCTGACCACCCGATCCCGTTAGTCGCCTCTTACGACAAGCATGGGTTACTGAAGACCAAATCTAACCCAGATCTTCACGGGTCCAGACGGTGATGATATCTTCGATTGTTATTAATGTTGTTGTTACGATGATACTATTATATTAGGAACCGTTCATAAATTATGGCTAGGGGGGTGATGATGATGATTTTGTGGGGCACCCATTTTGTTCTCTGGGGAGCTAAGGGGTTATCAATTTTGTGCACATGTACCGGGGTCATCAATTTTGTACATAAAAATATTTTAAAATCACGCTTAGAAATTATTGGGGGTGGGGGGGTGGTGGTGTAATTGTTTTTGTACATAACATGCAGGGGGTCACTTATTTATTTTGTACATAAATTTTAGGGGGGTCATCCACATTGTACATGCTTCTCAGTAAAAATCATCATCAACCCCCACCCCACCCCACCATAAATTATGAACGGTCCCTTACTGCATACAACCAATCAAAGGTTAGTGTGATATTTCTTTCTTGTCCAGTCTTCTATGTCACATATATCTTTTTTATAAGAAGACGCAAGAGTGCAAATGAATTTTCACAAACTCTCCGAGATATGTTAATAATTCGACAGACAGAATCGCTAATCAGCATAAGTTTCACAAGTCTTTTTGTAAACAATGTATTTTCAAATTTATGCAGAAGTTATATTTTAGGACTGCCTGTTCTGTTATCAAATTATGTATTTCTGTCGGCGCTAAATGGGATATGTTTCACATTTATAAGAACGTCATTAGAACCAGAGACCATATAGATTATATGGTCTCTGTTGGAACTAACAATTACGATGATACTATTATATTAGGAACCGTTCATGAATTATGGCTAGGGGATATGGGGTGTGTGTGTGTGTGTGTGTGTGTGTGTGTGATGATGACGTGTGTGTGTGTGTGTGTGTGTGTGTGTGTTTTTTTTTTGTGTTGTGTGTGTCACCCATTTTGTTCTGGGGAGCTGGGGTGGGGTTATCAATTTTGTGCACATGTACCGGGGGTCATCAATTTTGTACATAAAAATATTTTAAAATCATGCTTAGAAATTATTGGGGTGGGGGTGGTGTAATTGATTTTGTACATGACATACAGGGGGTCACTTATTTATTTTGTACATAAATTTTAGGGGGTCATCCACACTGTACATGCTTCTGATTAAAAAATCATCATCAACCCCCACCCCACCCCACCATAAATTATGAACGGTCCCTTACTGCATACAACCAATCAAAGGTAAGTGTGATATTTCTTTCTTGTCCAGTCTTCTATGTCATATAGATCTATATCTTTTTATAAGAAGACGCAAGAGTGCAAATGAATTTTCACAAACTCTCCGAGATATGTTAATGATTCGACAGACAGAATCGCTAATCAGCATAAGTTTCACAAGTCTTTTTGTAAACAATGTATTTTCAAATTTATGCAGAAGTTATATTTTAGGACTGCCTGTTCTGTTATCAAATTATGTATTTCTATCGGCGCTAAATGGGATATGTTTCACATTTATAAGAACGTCATTAGAACCAGAGACCACATAGATTATATGGTCTCTGTTGGAACTAACAATGTTTATAGCTAAAACACATGGAATTATCATGAAACGGCCCTCCTATATTATCAGAAATTTGCGGGCCGCTGCAAATGATATTGGACCGCTCAACCGTAACGACGGGCCACTGTCAGTTCTGTTGTCAAGTGACGTCATAGTGAGTGCGTCGGCTCATTCGACATTGGCTTTGGACTGGCAGATAGTCTGAGTCAAACAAGTCAAAGCAACCCGAATTCCCGCTTTAAATAACTGTAATATTGGCTTTCCTTCTGGTGCTAACCTTAACAATTGCACTATTAACGTTGTTGTTGGACCAAAACCGAACACTGACATAGTTTGACATGTTGCAGACTATGGTCTTGTTAAAGGCCAAGGTCGAATATCGTCACTTTCTGTTGTGACGTCACTTGAATTGTTCGATGACGTAATTGCATGCGGGCACATTCGTCACCACTCGGCCCTTTCCGTAATTCGGCTTGTCCCGGAATAACACGAATTGGTCACGGATGCATTCGGGCAGTCAACCCCGTCAGAAGTTGGTTTTGAGTTTACTTACAGTCAAATTCCTTCATTGTTTCCTTTTTCTTTTCAACACAAATTCCATGTATTTTAGCAATATTACCGGTAATGTTAATGGAAGAAGCTAGCCCTCGGGGCCCTCCTTCTGCAAATGATAATGCCCTCAAAAATTGCATTACCCTTATAACATTGTTAAATTAAGTAAATTAGTGACCACTGTTTATGCTATTTTAACCACTCGCGAAAGTGTCGTCACGATTTCAATACCCACGTACTAAGCATATTAATGTGACCTCGTTCATTATTTTTAAAATGTTCTTTACCACGAACGTATTGAAACAGATATTGCCAGAAGCAGCTATAAAAGAATCGCAAGCACTACTACATGCAGTTGTCTTTTCCTGGTTAGTTAAAGGTCATGGTCGTGGTCTGAAAAATGGAGGCCTGTGCTGCAGTGGAACGGGAAATCGACAGAGTTTTGTCAAAATTCACATCCCTCCATAACCACAGCCAGCGAACTGTTGAAGAACTAAGCACTTCCATTGAAAGTTTACGTCGAGAACTTAATGAGGGTAAGATTTGAAACAAGAAAACATTATTTTCAGCCTTGTGTTTTCGGCCTTATCTGTTCTTTGTTTGTAAACAAACTTGGTATTTTGAGATTTCATGTCAAGCAAAGACCAGCTGGTACTGTATCTTGCTGTGAATAGAGTTGGTATTGGTTGTTGATAATATTTTATGGGGGTTTAGGAGAACTGTTACCACGCAATAGTGATTCAGCAATAGTGAAATGATAAACATGATGATTATCATACTTACACCAAAGTTCATTTCCTGGGCCTAGATTTTCGAGCTCTCTTAGCGCTAAGATAGTCGTAGGTGCCATACATTAACATTAACTTACGACTATCTTAGCGCTAAGAGAGCTTCGAAAATCTAGGCCCTGCTACTTATATTTCCAACCAGCACAGGCTACTGCTTATGGGGATACATGCAGATCAGTGGCTTGAACAAACTACTCACGTGGCCAGTTTGAAGAATCTCTAGATGAATTAGTTAATTAGCCAACACTTTACTTCACTTACACTGCCACTGGTACTAACAAAAACAATGTATGTTTATTTTTATGGATAGCAGCACATTTGTGTGTATACCCAGTAACCACTCCTTCTGTCAAACTCAGATCTGAATAAAAATTTCCACATTTTCTTCAGAAGTTATTGGGATAATTTGTTCAAAGAATTGAATTGCCACACATATCGATAACCATGATAAGTATGTCTGGGAATGCTGAGAAAGAATCATGTGAGATCAGTGAAGTGAAAACCTCACCAAGAGAAGCTGCATTGAAAATACCTCTATGCTGCTTCTTGATACATGATCCAAATCTGTACCACATATACGCTTCAGCAAAGTGCATGCAAATATGATAATGTATCATTGTATATTTTGGAAAGATGCAACAATATTGTAAGGGTAATGCTATTTTTGAGGGCATTATCATTTGCAGAAGCCCTATGTCTTCCATTAACTACTGACGAAGGAGGGCAGTTGAAACAGACCGAGGGCTTCTGCAAATGATAATGCCCTCAAAAATAGCATTACCGTTATTATTGCTAAAATACATGGAATTTGTGTTAAAAAATTCGTGTTTACTCAAAACCAACATCTGATGGGGTTGACTGATGGAATGCAATTACGTCATCGAACAATTCAAATGACGTCACAACAGAACGTGACGATATTCGACCTTGGCCTTTGACAAGACCATAGCCTGCCACATGTCAAACTATGTCAGACACAACTTCAGTTTTCAGTGTTCGATTTGGTCCAACAACACTGTTAATAGTGCAATTGTTAAGGATAGCACCAGCAAGAAAGTCAATATTACCGCTATTTAAACTTTAAAGCGGGAATTCGGGTTGCTTTGACTTGTTTGCCCCAGAATATCTGCCAGTCCAAAGCCAACGTTGAATGAATTGTAAGCCCACTCACCCACTATGACTCCACTTGACAACAGAACTGATAGTGGCCCGTCGTTAAGGTTGAGCGGTCCAATATCATTTGCAGCAGCCCGCAAATTTCCGATAATATGAGGGACGTTTCATGATAATTCCATGTATTTTAGCTATAAATTTAATTATCAATTTGGTAACCAGACTGGTAAACATGGTGAATATTTTTCATTTGCCGTCATGCTCAGCTATCTGAGTAAGCAGGAGCGGGATCATCACCAAAAATAAAATTACATTTTCATAACTTGAGACCTCCCAGATGAGTTGACCATGTATCGTAACAAGTGATATCTAACCGATGAACCAGAAATGAATTCCTTCAGTTTTTCCCAAGCATTGTATAAGAAAGAAAATATTGTGACACAATATATGCGAGGTTGCCCTATATGCGCCGCTATACAGTATACAACAAACAATGAAGACTTTTTATTAATGAACATTGTGTCACTGTATGAGTGATGAGTACTATTGACAGAGCAGAACACCCCACCATTTTTGTGAACACCTGGTGTCATGACTTATTTTTACTGATCTATTCAGATGAGTTTCAGCACCATGTTGCTTTTTATGCCCATTGGATTCAGTTTCGAAACATAATTGAGACTGATTGTCCTCTGGTGGTGACATTTGAAATTATCATTAATGATGTTGACGCACTTTACCAATTAAATGATGTTGCACTTCACACTGTAAACATGATGAATAACATGCTATTACAGTGGTTACAAGTGAGTTTAGTGTTAAGCCACTTTTAGCACTATCACGGCAGGGGACACCAGAAATGGGCTTCACACATTGTACCCACATGGGGAATCGAACCCAGGTTTTCGGCATGATGTGCGAACACTTAAACTACTAACCACAAGGCTACCCCACCACCCCACCATGGTTATGAAAATGACAAAGTTACATTTCAAATCTGTTTTCATTTGTCCCTTCCCTAGTTACAGAGGACCATGAACTGACTCACACACAGTCCATGATCCTGTCACAGAGCGTCAAGAGGATCCGAGATGCCGTGTCAAGACTCAGCACAGAGCACAAGGACCTGCACGGAACTGTCTCCAAAGTGGGGAAAGCTATAGATCGGGTGAGACATCTGGATCATTACTATTATTGATGTTTTAACTATCTGTTATCATGATTATGTACATGTATACAGAACAAAAAAAGTTCGATATCGTGAATGTTTGGAGGGACATATTCATGAAATTGAGTGATCAGTTTTCATAACAGAAAAGTTCCCCCAAAGTGTTCATGATCCCTGTTTGTGCTTACAGACCAAATATACATGATCATGATGATATTTATGATATTGCTGCAGGAATATCGTGTCCATCATAAATAGATTCATAATTATGATCAGTAGATATGTTTGTTATTTTAATGATTTTGATAGAATCGATACATGTAATAATAAAGGTTGCTGTTATTTCGTCCTCTATTGCATTATTGTCATTTTCACTATTTGGGAATGTTTTGGTCATAATTGACTCATATTTGTGAGGTCGATTTTATATCGGTTATTATCATGATTAACCAACCTTGATCAGCCTGTGTACTAGTGTGTTACATAGTTACATCTTTTGATCTAGAGTTTGAAATATTATATGTAACATTAGTCCATTATATCCAAACTGAAACCTTTCTGTTTTGAACAGTGCATCACTATTTCACATCCTTGGATGATTTTACAAGAATTATAGAATGGGGGGAGTCATTTGGGTTTGTCATTAGTCATAATGTCAGTTTTACTCACAACTGAACATGTAACAGGCAACTAACGGGATCGGGTGGTCAGGCTCGCAGACTTGGTTGACACATGTCATTGTATCCCAATTGATGCTCATGCTGTTGATCACTGGATTGTCTGGTCCAGACTCTATTATTTACAAACCACCGCCAGTTGGAATATTGCTGAGTGTGGTGTTAAACAAACAAACAATTGAACCACATTACACACATTTTAGGATTAATCATTTTCAGTATAATAAGGACTATGGCATGTTTTGTTATTCTATGCACATATCTAAAATAGTGGTGGAGCACGTTGACTTCTTATGATAATAAAATGGAGACTGTATAAATGAAGATCATGATTAACCAACTGGACCAACAATGCCAAAAGATTTATCTTTCAAAAACTAGAGCATAATTTCATCATTTCCTGATTTCTACTCTTGATAACACAAGGTAATGTGTCTTGACTTGCGTCTTGGGTGTAATGTTGAGAACTTTTTCAGAACTTTGTGTCCGACTTCTCTGCGATAACCACTGAGGGAGCTTTTGATGGTGAGGACAAGCAGAAGCTTCTGAATGAGGTCGTGTGTGAGCACTTCCTGCGACAAGGCATGCTGGACATTGCTGAAGCTCTCAATGAGGTAACTCTATTGTCTGGCATTGTGAATCAGTACTGTTGAAATTAGTGTTCACAGGGATTGATGCTGACCAAAATTTACTGCCCAAAGACCACAGACCACATCACCACCATTTGTTATATTTTTCTGGTCCCTAAGACCAGCATAGCAATGTTAGTGTTAAACACTGCAGCATAGGTTCGTAATCAGGGTTTGTAATTACTATAGGTGTGCACATCAGGATTCAGGAAGGGCTAGAGACATTTTCTTTTGAACTACAGCTTTTCAAGAGGTAGATTGTAGCTAAATTAACTGGTGAGGACAGGAATTTCCCACTGATATGATATTTTTCTGAAAATCAGCTGGATAAGGGGCTACAATGTGTGACTATGGAGATGCTTTGAACAGCAGGAATCTCAAATCTTGATGTCGGTTGGTAGGGTTCAGACAGTTTCTCACATTACAGACCAAAACATGGAACAAAGTGCACTTTTTGTCTCTTCTGTGGTTACATTACTTCAGGTGGGGTGAGGTGAAATGGTGTTTAGCATGGCATTGAAACCTATCACACTTAAATAGCCAGGCGCATGCATATATGTGTGTGTATATGGCTGCTTGTAATATACCAGACTGAGACAGGTTTTATGGTGTTAGCCTATTTAGACACTCAGACACATCATATTGACTCAGATACAACCAGTTCTTGTTTTACCCCCCAAATGCTGAGTGCCTGGCAGGTACCAACAAGTGTGATGCATCCTAGAATCAAAACACCAGCATTCAAACTCTGGGTAGATGCAAAATTTATGAGGTCACATTACTTAAGGCTGTATAAAACTAAAAGGGAGCTGAACAGTTCAGTGTTCATTTTCTAATTTGGTCTGGATACTGTAACTTATACAATTTTGTGAATCTTATGACAATCTCTTTCTAATTTAGGCTATAGTTTAATGCTTAACTTGCATTCCTCGTGGTGTTTGAACTAGCAGACCAAGAAGCTGCCAGGAATGTAAATCAAATTTGCTGAAAGATCCAGTTCCACTTTATGTATGTTAGAGATGAAGCATTTTGTTGTTTCACATATAAAAAAATGGAGTTTGAATATTGAATTGGAGGGAATTTTCAGAAGTCTCTTCTGGCCATTGAAGATTTGATGACCTTGAGCTTTGTGTGGTCACTTGTAACATATCTCTGGTTTGATTCTTTAATCATGGCCACAGTGTGCTGGGCCCATTTATGAAGATCAGATTAAGAGAAGTAAAAGTATTATCACCATGGTTACAAGGATGTATGAATCTTGTGACAGGACGCAGCGCTTCAGCTTGATGGAGACAGGAAGGAACCATTTCTGGAGCTGCATAGAATTCTTGGAGCCCTTAAGCTGAGAGATCTACGACCAGCTCTTGGGTAAGAACATGAAACATCACTACCGATCGGTACCGTTGTACAAACGACCTTAGTGCAAAGACTGTCGTAAGTAGGAATGTTAAGGAATGGGAGTTATGATCATAAGAGCACTAATATTGTTGTGCACAAAAGCACTCTATTTTATTGACAATATAAAATGCACTCTTGGAAGAAAGTTATGATCGCCAAAATTTACTATTGACAATATATGCACATGTTTTCACTGTCTTCATCTGCATTGTGTTCCAGCTGGGCGGAGGCTAATCGAGACCGTCTGCTCCAGAAGAACAGCTCCCTGGAGTTCAAGCTGCACCGTCTGCAGTTCATTGACCTCCTCCGACAGGGCCCGGAACGCCAGAAGGAGGCTTTGTGGTATACACGCAACTTCTCACCGTTTGCACATCAACATGCAAGAGGTCAGTAGAAATTTAGAGTTACTTCCCTTGATCAACAACTGGTTTTTGTCAATAGCTTCCTTTACTTTATCCCCAAACTTTTCTTATTGTTTGGTCTTACTCTTAATTTCTGAGGTCTATTTGATACCATGGGGTATTCTTTTTAATCAGCAAGAGAACTCCCTGTGTCAATTCTGCCTCGGCCCAAATGGGTAGTCTCTTGTACATATATTTGATTCTGTGAGCATGATGCAGTGTTCTCTATATTCAGCAAGGATTTTCCTGAAATGCAATCACCTGGTTTTGTTGTGACAGAGTTACAGGCCCTGATGGGAAGTCTCCTGTACCTGAGACAAGGAGTGGAGAACTCTCCATACTCTTCCCTGCTGGACCCCATCTACTGGGAGGAAATCTGTGACGTCTTCACACGTGATGCATGTTCCCTCATGGGGCTGTCTGTTGAAAGCCCTCTCAGTGTCAGGTACAGTAAACTTTCTGTGTGGAAGGCATGGTGAGGTATGCTAGTGGTCCACTCATCTCAATGAAGACCCTGGTTCAATACCTCACAATGCCTGAAGCCCATTCAGGCCCTGATTTCTCGGAAAAACTTAAGTTTTTACTCAAATTTCAAACTGAGTTTGACAATTTGAAACAGCTGATTTCTTAACTCAACTGCATGTTTTAAGATAAAAAGGCCCAAACAACTTAAGTAGCCTATCTACCCAACTCAAATTGTCAACTATGTTTGAGTGTAATATCGATTTCAGTTCATTCTGGAAAATGCATTTTCCTGCTTTTTCTCAAATTTGAGTAAAAACTCTTACTTAAGTCAAAACTCAGACTTAAGTTTGTTTCGAGAAATCGGGGCAAGGTATTCCATGCTGTGGAATGGCTGAAATGGCAAAAACATTTTTACTCACTTCCTCCATAATGGCATGGCTTATTATCCATGATGTCAGTTAGTTCTTTATTAACTTAATTGAAACTTTGTGTTGTTGATAATGATTTAAACTTCTTTTTTGCACCATAGCTTGTACTCAACTTTGTCCATTGTTAATAAGGTTGCTGAAATGTAAAAGTTAGCTGACCAGTAAAGTTTGTTTAAGTTTGAAATTGACTTCATGTGTAATGAGAGCTTTTATGTGGATTCCAGTATTCGAGCCGGCTGCAAGTCACTGCCTCCCCTGTTGAGTATACGACAAGTTATGCAACAGAGACAGGTCAGTTGGATAACAAGCATGACAGTAGCATCATACTCACAGGTCACTGGGGTTTGGACTAACATTAGTAACAAGGATGAGTTGCCGGTAAGTAGCATCATACTCACAGGTCATGGACTAACTAGGATGACAGTAGTCACTGGGGTTTGGACTAACATTAGTAACAAGGATGAGTTGCCGGTAAGTAGCATCATACTCACAGGTGGACTAACATTAGTAACAAGGGGTTTTAGGACGGGTTTGGACTAACAAGGATGAGTTGCCGGTAAGTAGCATCATACTCACAGGTAACTGGGGTTTGGACTAACAAGGATGAGTTGCCAGTAAGTAGCATCCGACTCACAATATGGTGTATGGATATGCAAAGTGATGAAAGGGAGATAACTCTAAACGCGGTCTTGGCTAATTGCCAACTCTGGTACTCCTTATTATAATCCGATACCTGTGCTTCAAACACTTCAAAATTAACATTGAGGTGTTCGGTAAGATAAACATGTTGTTCACTGGTCCCTGAGGGCCCATGGATTGATGTACCCTCTATGTTTGTTTATGTAGAGGGTACATCAACCCATGTCCCCCTCATGACCATAAACAACTTAATATGTTTCCAGAGTCTGGATTAAACAGGATGAGTTGCCAGTAAGTTGTCATGTACTATGCCCAAGTGAATTCCTAACATGTCACCCCAGATATTTTTGAGCATGAATTACTCATGGTTTACTTTCCATAGGAAAAATAAAATTATGCAACGGAATATTTGTATTTCACATTTGCAGGTTGAGATAGACTTGGGTCCTGAGTACAGGTACCACTCCATTTTTGCCTGCCCCATCCTTCGCCAACAAGCTACGGAAAACAACCCCCCAGTCAGGCTGGTGTGTGGCCACGTGATCTCACGTGACGCCCTCAACAAACTCTCCAATGGAAACAAGTATGTATTTATAGAAAACCTGTCAAGTCAGTTGCCAATCATGGTGTTAACGTTTAGATGTACATTAAATCATTAAACTGTCATATTGATATGAAAGAAGTACTGTGCTGATGCCTTTTATGTTTACAGAGATTATGACCTCCTAACAATTTAGATAATTCATGACATTGCAAAATAACTAACCTTCTTACTTTCCATAAAATCAGTAGGTATGGAGTTTGGCAACTGAGGATGAGAATAGTGGTTTTTAGAAGAAGTTCTTTTGAGATATGTGTTTTAAAATTCTAATAGAAGTCATACCTTATGAATGACAGTGTGCTTTATTCCAGAGTGAAGTGTCCATACTGTCCGATTGAGCAGCTGCCTGCCGAAGCCAAGAGTATTTTCTTTTGATCTCATTGTTTGGTTGTACCATAACCTACGGAGTTGTCTCCCCTGTACAATTAGATGTAGAGTAATCTCCCCTGATCCCAGCAGCAGCAGCAGCACCTCACAGTGTTAACATATTGGCAGTTGGGGATAAAAAGGCCCACCTTTATCAGCAGCAGAAGTCTGATATTCAGATAACTTAATCTTAAGTGCAGTAAAACATTCTGTTGCTCCACTCTGACAACGTATGTACAAGTTTCAAAACATTTATTTGATCAGGCTTTGAGAAATATGTTTTTTCAGGTAGGTAGTGTTATATATAATTACATATGTACATAAAATTTTGAAAAATTGCTAGACAACTGCAAAACATTAAAGATTGCTTTTGCAGATATTCTGTCAATTTCTGTACCTGTATTCTATTCACGATAAAATATTTTACTGACCTCATGTTGACTTCAAGGCAAGCAGACCACAACATTATAATATTACTAGTCCTGATCAACATTTGATGGCATTTGCCTGGTGAACAAGACGGTTAGCATTTTTCTCTTTTGCCCCCAAACATCTTTGGCTAAAAATAATGAATGGTTCCTATACACATTCAATTGAGAACAATAACATCCTGGCAAAGAGTTTGTTTTGTTAAACATGAGGTTGTTATTAACTGGATGGGTTCAAATCAAATATTTTCTGAAAGTGTTCTTTCTGTAATAACTGTCAGTTTGGGTGCTCCAGATGTGCAGAGAGAGTTACGTCCCTTAGCTATGAGTCGCTAAACATTGGCTTCAACAAAGTGTGATAAATCAATAACAGCCTGAGTCACTTTAGAATATCCTCCCATATGAGGCATTGTGTAGAATGATGCTCATGGCGTTGATCACTGGATTGTCTGGTCCAGACTCAATTATTTACTGATTGCCACCATATATATAAATGGAATATTGCTGAGTGCGGCGTAAACAACAATCCAACCAACCAACCCATATGTCTGACAAATGTCTGACATACATCCCAAACTTGACTATCTGGCTGCACAGCAAATCACTATTTAAATGGGTGCTTAACAATAATTACAAGAGCGTATTAATAACATACTTAACAACATCATTACAATGTATTAACAACAAAATTGATATCACAACAACAATGTATTGACATCAAACTTCACAATCATCACATCCTTGACCTCGAGTGCAACAAATTTCCTATACATTTTACGTGGGTGGTGACTCTTTATATTGTTAACTAAAGTGTATCTTTTGTTGAATGTTTGGTGTGAATTTGAGTATCATTCGTAATATTTTATATTTTGTCATGTTAATGATGGAGTTATGCTAACAGGTTTTCGTTACAAATCATTTGTACATTTGTAGTGTATGTTGTTTTCAATGAGTTGACTGGACAGTAGCATATTTAAAATATTTTTTTGTGGTTTAATTATTTGGCTTAATTTTGACATGGCAATATCATGGTCATAAATTATTTAAGAGATTGAATGTATGAATCAGTGAAAGGGTTGATTGAGAATCATCACAAAGGCTTTGGATTTCTTCAGTAGTTAAGTCAATGTGAAAAGTTAATACCTTTTTCAATGTGAACAAAGGGAAGTAACTGTGTATGATGCATACAAGATGCAAGAAGCTTGTGGAGTTACGGAACATGTGCAAGTAAAGTCAATCCCGGGGGAAGAGCCATTGCTGATACTAAGAGGCAGCAGAATTAATGAGGTGGTGAGGTTCGGTAACTAAGGTGACTTTGTGTCGTTCAACTCTGGCAGTGTGATCACTCCTCACATGTTAATCATGGATTGTTATTAAGGGGTGGGTGGGTAGCAGGGGGTGGTTAATGCATTTGAACTCTGCACTAGTGACCCGGGTTTGATTTCCTACATTGGTATATATGTGAAACCCATTTCTGGTGTCCCCCGCCATGATATTGCTGGAATATTGCTAAAGCGACATAATCCCAAACAAATTCATTAACTTGCTGCTAACAGGCTTCAATTATTTGACCCTGGTTTGATTCCCTACAGGGGACAATGTGTGAAGCCCATTTCTGCTGTGCCCTGCTGCGATAGTGCTGGAATATTGCTAAAAGCGGCATAAGCCCAAACAAACACACTCACTTGCTACTAACAGGCTGCAATTATATAGCTGGAATATTGCTGCGTACAACATTAAACAAAATAACGCCATACAAACAAAGAAAATAGTGTTAACGATTATGAACTTTGTTTGAATTCTAGCAGTGCTTCCAGGACATAATAAATGTAAACTTATCTAATCCATTATTCCACTAGTAATGGCATATATCTATGTAGATAGTAGTTTGTGTCATTCTTCAACCTTGTTGATTGGTTCCCAGTGATTGAATCCCTGTGAATGCTCCAGCCAGGAAAGATTGAAGTACGCAGTACGACAGATGTGCTGTATTCTTTGTGTGTAATTTGAACAATCATAATCATAATAATAAAGGAAACAATGAAGGATCATATCGTTGATAAAACTAGTCATTTTATATCCTTTTTGAACTGTTCAGTGATAACCGTTTTATTGAGATATACGTTAACACAAACATACTTTTAATAATATACATTCTTCTTCAAGTTTAGTTGTGGTTTGTGTATGGCATTTCTGAAGAAAGGAAAATATTATGTGGATTCGATATGCAGTTCCTACACATTACTTGTGACATAACTATTAGGAATATATTTCATTGCAGCCGTCAAGGGAAAGATTTGCGTTAGAAATAATCCCATTGGTTTTGGGTAGCTCAAGTTAGCTTTGGTTTGTTATATGTTAGTTTTAGATATGTTTAGCCATTGTGAGAGCTCAAAGGAAAAGATTATGTGTTTTAAATCTAAAATACTGTATCCACATGTGATATATTGTAAGTTTCAATTTCTTTGTGTTTAAAGTAATTAAGTTCACAATATTTAGCCTACCCTGCTATGTACAGACAACAGACATGATTTATTAGGATCTGGTTTTGTACAGCAAAATGGCCCTCGGGTGGCCCAGTAGGGGGAGCTGTTTCAGTGGTGGATCCACAGGGGGGGTTCAGGGGGTTCGAAACACACACACACACTTGAAAATGACTAAAGACTAGATTGAACCCCAACCCCAACCCCCAACCCCCAACCCCTTTTGAAAATTTCTGGATCCACCTCTGTGTTTGCTGTGCTGTGTTGCATACATGGCTGTGCCAGGATCCAGTTGTCATTAGTTTAAGTGCAAGATTCACAGTGAACAGTGTTGGTTTGTCAGAACAATACCCCTGGGTTTTTACAAGGGTCGGAAATATTTCACAACTGCATCACCTCAGGCATTCCTCCTGCACGAAGTGGTGGTTCGGTAGCCCAGTGGTTAAAGCGGTCGATTGTCAAAGCAAAGGCCTGTGTTCGATTCCCCACATGGGTGCAGTGTGTGAAGAACATTTCTGGTGTCCCCCGCCATGATATTGCTGGAATATTGCTTAAAGCGTCATAAAACCAAACTCATTCACTCATGCATGAAGGTGAGAAGAAATGATAGAAACGAAATATTGTTCGAAGCTGCAGTAAAAAAAATCAGTTCTCTCTCTCACACACACTCACGGACACACAGCTAAATTGAAGAAGATAATTTGTTTGATGAGGAGTCCAGGTTGTGTACATATATTTAAAAAGACAAAAAAAATACCCAAGTACATTTCCAATTTTGTATTTTATAAAGTTGTGATTGGTGAATATTAATATGACCTATTTATTTGTGCAGCTGTAATGGCTATTCCTGTGTATATATGTAAATATTACTAATATATTATTGCCAACAGATCTGGTGTATGGTAGTGTTAGTCGTACTCCTCTGTAGTCTGTCACCATGAAGGTCCGATTCCATGTTTGTACCTACTGTGTCAGTCTTTGTGCCATTGCATTTGGAAGGTGAATATCTTGGAATAAAAGTTGAAAAATAGGATTCTTGTGTCTTTGATTCAAGTCTGCCTGGGTGTGAAGCTCATTACTGGTGTCCCCCGCTGTGATGTTCTGAATATTGCTAAAAGCGGCGTAAAACCAAACTCAGTCAGTCAGTCAGTCATGTCTGCCTGGCTGTCAACCACCCAATATTCCCGGCACCATACATAGTGTACTTGTCTCAACCAGTCTTGTTTCACACAGAAGACATAGACTGTCGGAGATGGCAGTGGTCCACCTTGCTTGCAGTTTGTTATTTGCCAGCTCTGTCCAAAATTATATAGCATACATAGTCAGTGTGCATATCTCATCCAGCCTTGTTTCACACAGAAGACATAAACAGTCTGAGATAGCAGTGGTCATTTTCCATCTGTCTAAAATAATATTGCATAATTAATCAGTGTACTTGTCTCATAATATATTTGTAATATGACCATCCTTTATACCCATCTTCTTCATCTAGTCTATGATGTGACTTCAATATTAGTTGAAGTGTCATCCATAAGTTCATTGCTGCTTCAATTGTGCAGATCGATGCTCATGCTGTTGATCACTGGATTGTCTGATCCAGACTCGATTATGTACAGACTGCTGCCATATAGCTGGAATATTGCTGAATGCGGCATAAAACTAAACTCACTCACTCATTGCTGCTTAGTATTAGGTAATGTTATCAGAAACCAATTTGGTTTGATACTCAAAAGTTTGACCGCCTCCGTGGTGTAGTGGTTAGAGCGTCCGCCCGGAGAGCGGAAGGTCGCGGGTTCGATCCCCGACCGCGTCATACCAAAAGACGTTAAAATATGGTACTTGTTGGTCCCTGCCTGGCGCTCGGCATTAATGGGTACAACAAGGACTGGTCGGCTCGGAGTCAGTATAATGTGTCTGAGTGGGGTATTCATGCTTCACTGCGGCATGGTATCTCAGTGGGCTAGCACTATCAAACCAGCTTTAGTCTGGGCTAGTACAAGCAGCCGCACATACACATACACATGCATGCACGTCGTCATATGAGCGAAATATTCTCAAGCACGACGTTAAACCCAATTTCACCTCACCACCTCACCTCAAAAGTTTCTTCATAAATGACACACTCGTGAAGATAAATGTTAGAATTAGTCATTTGTAACTCGCCTGTGTTGTAAGAGATGACTAAACAGATCAGGTGATCAAGCTTGCTGACTTCATTGACAGATCATGACATCCCAACTGCAAAGATTGCTGCTCATGCTGTTGGTCACTGGATTGTTTGGTACAGACACAATTATTTACAGATTGCCGCCATATTGCTGGAAAATTTCTGAGTGCGGCGTAAAACAACTACAGTGGAATCTGTCTATAACAGACAGGCCTGGGACCGACTCATTTGTCAGAATTGTAAAGCAGTCTGGTTAGACAACTTTTGTCCATTACTGTATGGGTTATCTTGTGGTCTGAGTTGGACTCCAACAGAAGTAACGATATATATTCAACAGACTGTTATTTTAGTGAGCTAAGTCCGAATTACATGGCATTGTTCTCATATCAAGTTGATTGTTGGGACTGTTATTTTAGTCCGCAATCCATAATTGACAGAGATTATAAAGCAAGCTTTTAATGATAAATTAGGAACAAATTTGCCAGGACTCAGAGAGTAGTCCGGATTATGGAGAACACC